TACTCGAGTTTCATCATTTAAATTCAGATTGCCATGCTTATTCAGAAAGGGCTTGTAACTGGTGAGTCATCTGCCCTATTCATTATCTCTCTGTATGTGTGTATGCACACATGCACATGTGTGTGTACATGTGTTTATTCAGAGGCCAGAAGGAATCATTGGGTGTTGGCTTTTTGTTGTTGTGTTGTTAACTTGACATAAGCTAGAGTCATGGGGAAGAGGGACAACTGAGGAATTGCTTCCATTACATTGGCCTATTGGCATGCCTACAGGGCATTCTCATGACTAATGGTTGATGTGGGAGGGTCCAGCCTTTCCTAGGCTGGTGGTCCTGGGTTCTGTAAGAAAGCAGGCTGCACAAGCCCTGGGTAGCAAGTCAGTAAGCAATGCTCTTCTGTGGCCTCTGCTTCAGTTCCTGCCTTGAGCCCCTATCTTGGGTCTCTGATAGGTTCTAAACCACAAGCCAAGTAATCCTGTCTTCCCCCACGTTGGTTTGAGTCAGTGTTTTCATCACAGCGACACATTTCCTTTACTGTTCTTCGCCTGTTCCTTTGAGGCAGGGCCTTCCTTTGAACCCAGGGCTTGTGTTTTTCAGCTGGGCTGAAATTCAGCAAGCCCCAGTGATTCCCCAGTCTCTTCCCTACTCATGGGTGCAGCAAGTGTGCCTAATCACTGAGCCATCTCTCCAGCCTGGAGCTTGGCATTGAGCCAAGATCCTCTCTGTTCATATTCCTCCTTATCTTTTATTGAAAACCCAAGCCAGCTTTATTAACACACCTACTTTTCTAGACACTTGGGGAAGAGGTGTGTGCAGACATAACCACTAACCAGAATCAGAAGTCACATCCACACACTTGTCTCATCAAACTCTGCCTGCCATAGGCTAGCCCCCAGAGCTGCCCCTACCACTCACTGAACCTTCTGGGGAGTAGAGGCCCTGACTGAAGGTGGAAGAGGCTGTGTTGTTTCTGGAAACAGCGCCATTTGTTGGAATAGGATTTGGGGTTAAAGTTCAAGTCCGAGTTGACCTTTAGCACTTCAGGCAGTTGGTATATGTGGTAATCTTAGCAGTTCTTCATAATGGCTGAATGACTCTAGATCACATGTGCATGACAGCATCCACTGGGGGATCTGGGCTCATCTCTTGTGAGTCCTTCTGGCATGGACGAACCTCAAAGGTTTGAGAGAGGGAAATACTGCACAGGGCTCCAGCATCTAGAGCTGGCCTCATTCACAGGCTGGGGAGATGGCTCATTCAGTAAAATGCTTGTCACACAAGCATGAGGACCTGCAGTGCACACAAAAGCCAAGCACAATGGTATACACCTGCAATCCCAGCATCTGGGAGGTGGGAGACAGCTGGTCGGTCCCGATGCTCACTGGCCGGCCAGCCTAGCTTCCCACCCCCTGCAGGGAAGTCATGCAGCTTTAAAATGGACTTTCTCCTCGCTCAGTCTTCAGATATGTGTGTCTCCTGGCCAGGGGAAGGGCAGGAGGCTTGAAGTGGAGGCACATTTGTTTAGTTAGGATCAGAGGTGAGTTTGAGACCAGCCTGGTCTCCAGAGCGAGTGCCAGCCCGGATAGGCTCCAAAGCTACACAGAGAAACCCTGTCTCAAAAAACCAAAAGAAAAAAGAAAAAAAAGAAAAAAGAAATCAGAGGTGAGGCTGGGCATTGGTGGAGCACACCTTTAATTTGGGAGGCAGAGGCAGTTGGATCTCTGTAAGTTCCAGGCCAGCCTGGTCTACAGAGTCAGTTCCAGGTCAGTTTCCAAAACAATACAGAGAAACCCTGTCTTGAAACAAACAAACAAACAAACAAACACAAAGATCAGAGGTAAATATTGTACATTTGCTATGGTTTGAATATGACACGTCCCCTACAGGATTAGGACTTTAGGTCTTAAGCTGGTGGCACTATTTGAGGGAGATTGTGGAGCCTTCAGGGGATAGGGCCTTTCTAGAGGAAGTGGGTTGCTGGGGGAGGGGGTCCTTGAGGGTTATATCTTTACCCTGTGCACCTGCCTGTGCGCGCACACACACCAATCAGATACATGGAGGCACAGCTTTGTGCCTCCCTTTATGAAGTTACTGACATTTTAAAACATTCACTATAGAGTTAGTATTTTTAAATGACCTTTACTTACCGATTTTACTTGTGTATGCCGGAGTACACATGTGGAGGTCAGAGAACTTGTGGGAGTTGGTTCTCTCTTCCCACCATGTGGGTCCTGGGGATTGAACTCTGTCAGGCTTAACAGTAAATTCCTTCACCCACTGAGCCACTTTGCTCAGTTTCTCTTTACTCATTGTAATGGGGGACGAGGAGGACCTCTGACTCCAGTAAACAATCTGATACTTGTGGGGAGAGGTTACAAGGCCTGAGAGATCACAGGCCTTTGGGGGCAGTCTTGGGGGGGCACCTTCTTGGTCTAGTTCCTCGGAGATCAACAAGGAGCTGGCTCTTTGGTGTCAACAATTGCTTGAATGAAGCTTGAAGGAATCTGGCCCCATCTCTGAAATCTTCCCAACCTAACATTTAAGTATTAATTCATCATCTCCTTGGTTACCCTGCTTGTTCCCAGTTCAGGAAGCTTTGCCAGAAACAGACAAAACAATGTCCATTATGTGTTTCTGTCAAGTGCTGTGTAAAAGAACTGTCTGTTTTCAGGAAGACTAAAAGTGAATCTGACATGGACTTGAACAGACTTTTGCTGCGAGGTACCAAGGGCATGTTTTACTTAGACTGCATTTTTTTTTTCTTAAAACTTTTCTGTTTTGAAATTGCACCTTACATTGAGTTTTTGAACTGTAATTAGGCAACCGTGATAATTGCTAATGGCTTAAAGTCAAGCTGGGATAGTTTCAAAACAGACATATGTTAGGTCCCTGGATAGAGTCATAAAGAGTCTTCCTCATTTAAACTGACAGGGATGATTTTGTTTGGATGTGATGACAGAATGAGGAGAGCAATGAATTCAAGCAGGTAACAACTTGTTTGTTTTTGATACTGGGTCACTCTAGCAGACACATGAAAGATGAGCTGCAGAGGGCAGTGAGTCTAAGAAGTGGTTCTCAGCCTGTGGGTCTGGGACCTCTTTGGGTTCCCATATCAGATATTTACATTATGACTCATAACAGTAGCAAAATTACAGTTATGAAGCAACAATGAAATAATTTTATGGTGGGGGCGGGTCACTACAACATGAGGAACTGTACTAAAGGGTCATAGCATTAGGAAGGTTGAGAACCACTGGTCTAAAGAGACGGGGGGCAGCCGGGTGGTGGTGGTGCACACCTTTAATCCCAGCACACGGGATGGATTATGGTATGCAGTATACATGTATGTGGAGGCTAGAGGTCAATCTCCAGTTCTCCAGCATCATTCCTCTGTGAGTTCGAGGCCAGCCTGATCTACAGAGAGAGTTCCAGGACAGGCTCCAAAGCAATACAGAGAAACCCTGTCTCAAAAAAACAAAACCAAAAAGGGAGGGGCAGTTCCCATTATAGAGTAGCTAGATAAACTGCATGACGAGATGTAGTCATCCTAATCCTAGTGATTGCCAGGCAGACACAGTAATCTCTCTCTCTCTCTCTCTCTCTCTCTCTCTCTCTCTCTCTCTCTCTCTCTCTCTCTCTCTGTGTGTGTGTGTGTGTGTGTGTGTGTGTGTGTGTGTGTATGTGTCCTACTAGCCAGCCAGTTCAGGAGGTGGTGGCAAAAGCCTTTAATCCCAGCACTTGGGAGGCAGAGGCAGGTGAATCTCTGTGAATTTGAAGTCAGCCTAGTCTACAGAGTGAGTTCCAGGACAGCCAAAGCTGTTACACAGGGAAACCTGTCTTGAAAAACCAACCAACCAAACAAACAAACAAAAAACCAAAACAAAAAACCCCAACCCCAAACAAACCAAATCTTGGTGGATGGCACCAGAGGAATGATGCCGGAGAACTGGAGATTGACCTCTAGCCTCCACACAGCATGCCATGTGTATTGCAATCTTGTGTATGCGTGCTCATGGGCACACACACACACACACACACACACACACACACACACACACGATCATTGGCTCAGATGGCAGGGGTTAGAAGATTGCTTTAGAGACCAGCTAGGATTACATAGAGAAACCCTGTCTCAAAAACAACCCAAAGAGAAATAGACCAGGAAGAGGAGGAGAGTCTTAAGGATGCCCTGAGCTGCTGGTGGATGGTTGACACAGAGAACTCTGGTGGGACACAAAACCATGAGGATGAATCAAAGATCTGGTTGAGTCTGAGGTGTTGATAAGTCTCCAGAGATATCAAGCCCATAGATACCTTAGAGGACGGACTGGGTCAGAGGAGGCAGGCAGTAATGGTGAAACAGCTCCTCACATACAGACACAGTGCACTGGAGACTCTCCTGGAAGGCTAACTGCTCATCCTTCCTCCCGTACAGTGTGCCTGGACCATCTTTGCCCTGGACCACCTTTGCCCACATTCCCCAGTCCTATCAGTCCTTACCTTCAGTGACTGCCTGTCTACAGCTCCTGGAATGCAGGGCTGTGTTGTTTATCTTAGCATCTCCAGCATCTGGAACACATTTCAGCAAACCACTGGGTGTTCAAATAATGGATGATGGTGCTAAGAAGACATGAGCTGATGACCACACTGAAATCTACACAAAGTAGGACTTAAGGGATGGCTCAGCCGGTAAAGTGCTATTTGTTTGACCACAAGGACCTGAGTTTGATCCCCATAACCTATATAAAAATGCTGCACATCGTGGCATACACTTGTTATTCCCTGAGGAGACAGAGACAGGAAGACCTCTTGAGCTCACTGGTCATTTAGCTTGACCTAATCTGTGAGCTCCAGGCCAATGAGAGACCTTGCCTCAAAGGAGATGAGTGGTGTGTGTCTGTGAGGCTGACTCCAAGGTTGTCCTCCAGCCTCTACATGTATACACACACATGCAAAACACCCCTTCCCAGAAACACATAAACATTAAAAAATGAGGCATCCATTGGAACAGCAGTTGACATCAGTCTTTAATCTTGTAGCACCCATTATTACAGTTATAAAATCTTTCCTTATTCATAAGAAAGCCAGAATCATACAGAAGATGAAAAAGTAGACAGAGTCACAGGGATAGCACCAAGGTATACAGATGGTATTTGGGGACACAGGGATTTAAGATGCTTTACTTTCTCAGGCTGAAATGTCTAGCATAAGCTCCCAAGGGGGTGCTGCAGCAGACAGTGGTCACTAGACTGTCACACTGAATGTAAGAGCACATAGCACCCAGGAAGTACAGAGATTCTTCCTCCTTACACCTCCAAGTGAGCTGCATGATTTCATCATTTTGTTTCCAGCTGCATCACTGACTACCTCAGTCCCTTCAGTACATCTGAGCACCTGGGGATCCCCTGCCAGACATAATTCCCAGAGACACTCCCCTCCACCTCCACAGGAAGACAGAGTAGAGAGTGGTTTAGCATTGCTAGGTCCACAGCATTGTTATTTCTGTGTGTACACATGAGAACAAGAAGAAGATGTTTGCTGCCAGCTCAGAGGGGGAGCACTGTCGGCCAGCGGAGGAAGGTGATTTGAGATATGCATTTGTGAATGGCTCTGAACAAGTGGCACAGACAGCAACATCATATCCTCAAATGGGAGGAAAATTTTAAAGCAGGGACAACAGGATTGATTTAAAAAAAAAAAGACTTGGAGGAAAGAAAGACTTCACTCAAAATCAAATGAGATCTTTTTAATCGCCTAAAAAGGAGAGGACAGAAGAGAAAAATCTGTTTCATCTTTGTTACTAATCCTGTCTTTAGAAACACAACTTTTTTTTTAATATAGCTGGTTGAAGACAGGTGAGAAGATTCCAGCATCATGGTATTCTTGGGTGCTAAACTGGGAGAGGAAGAGACCCAACAGACACAACTGTACCTTCTGTTCTGTGGAGACAAGTCCATGTAAGTGCTGACAGGCCACAGGGATCTTCTGCAGCCACTATGCTGGGCACATCCTGGAGCCAGGAGCCCCCATCTCAGCAATGTCATCCTTATAGAGTGTCTATGTGTGCCAAATGATAGAGCAGCCATACCCTTTCTCTTTCTGTCTTAGTGGGGCTGCTTGGACGGCACCTAACCAACCCAGGCTCTAAAAGGAAACCGATTTAGAATGTACCCTCCAGCAGGGGGCAGCACTATATTAAAAATTACTGTTCAGGATGAACTGCAGTCTTTGGCTAGATTTCCTGTATTATTGAGGAGTTTTACTATTCATTGCTACAGAAGTAGGTGGCTGCTTTGTATGGGGTCTTTTAGAGGCACAGGTGGGACATCCTAGCACAGCTGCAAGCCCTAACTAGTTAAAACCTCACCATGCTAATACTGCATGCCGTGTTTTGTCTGCCTCCTCCAGTGTGGGTCCCCAGAAGTGTGTAATCTCTCCCTGGGTGTACAGCTGTCCGGTGTGGCTTTGAGTCCTTCCCTTTCATTTGACTCTTTACTATTGCAACCAAATAAAATGTACACAACATTTAGCCTCATAACTGACCATTACAGATGAAAATTTTGCTTAAAGAACACATTTTTTTTTTTTTTGGAAACATAGCTAAGGGGATTTCAACATTGTAACAGGAAAACAACCTTATCCCATGCAGCTTACATTGTGATCACCTAACACAGGTTCCCAGGATAGAAAGCACTTACGGGTTAATGATGATGGGGCGGAGAGACAGCTCATCATACTGCAATTTAGAGGACCTCGGTTTAGTTCCCAATACCCACGTCTGGCAACTCACAACCACCTGGAATGCCAGCTCCAGGGATCTGACATCTCCGGTCTCCACAAACACCTATATCATGTGTACAGACTCACACACAGACATGTAACTAAAAACAATAAAAATAAATATTTAAAAGGTGATGACTAAGCTTCCAATAATTACTTAATCAGTCGGTCATAAAATGACCTCCTTCCCCCCTGCTCTCCCTCCTGTGAAGTTCCAGGGTATTCATGCTTCTGAGGAACTGATTGGCTTTAAATGAGCTGCTTTGTACTTCATCTACAAATACTCCCTGACTCTCTTTATGCAACTCAGATCAAAGTCATCTTACATTTAGAGTCAGAATGAACTTGAAGAAATCTTCAGTAAATTTCCCTCTGCTGATTCCATGCTTCTAATAATTAAAAATTCTCACAAGATAAATGCTGGGGTGACAGTCATGCACCACTGCACATAGCTTGCATGACATTTTGTTTTGTTTATGAAGCAGGGTTACAGTTAGTGAAGATTGGCCTCAAACTCTCCATTTCCAGGTACCTGAATTGCAGGTATGCACCACCACGCTGGCTTATGCAGCGCTGAGGATCAAACCCAGGGCTTTGGTCATGCTAGGTAAGCACTCTACCAATTGAGCTGCATTTCCAGCCCTAGCTTGACATTGTCTTTTAGAGATTTACTTCTAGGTGAGTGTGTGTGTGTGTGTGTGTGTGTGTGTGTGTGTGTGTGTGTGTGTGTGTGAGTATATGCTCTGTGTGTGTGTGTGGGGGGGTACTCCTGGAGATTAGAAGAGATCCCCTAGGAGCTGGTGTTACAGGCAGCTGTGAGCCACCCCATGTGGGTGCTTGGAATTGAACATGGGTCCTCTAAAAGAGCAGTAAGCACTCTTAACTGCTGAGCCATCTCTCCAGCCCTGCCTGGCAGTTTTGATCCAACTCTAGAAAGGCAAGTTCAGTGGACACTTACAACCACCGCTGTGCTTGCAGAAGTCGAGTTCCCAGCACCCACATGGAGGCTGATAAATGCCTGTAATTCCAGGTCTAGGGTATCTCCATGCCATCTTCCTCTAGGCCGGGAATGCAAAGGTTCTTGCACAGGCTGACATGAACATGTCCAGAGACATCGACAGCTAGGGATCCCGCTGCAATCTTAAGCAGTATCTAAGGAGAATGTTCTTTTCTTTTCATGCTGGCATGATTCTGTCCAAACCATAGGCTTTGGCCCTATGCAACCTATAAAATATTCTTCCCCAATTCCAGGTTCAAATATTAAATTAAAACAGATGTGCAAAAAGAAACAAATACCTGCCACCGAAACAGAACCCATCCTTCCACAAGCCACCAGCTTCAGGGACAAACACTGCCCATTCTACAACCTCATCTGAAAAATCTTAAGAGCAGTTACATACTCCCTGTGACTCATGCTGGTCCAGCAAGCAGAAAGGCCAATGCCAGAAGGGGATTCTAGAAGTGCATGGAGTTGTCCGAGTGTCCTCGGTGGGGCCACTCCTCATCCACCCACCTGCGCAGGATCTTCTCCACATCAGCCCTGTGGTAAAGTCGGCAGAGCTCCATCAGCTGGACCACAGTCCTCTGGCTGTTCCGGAATAAGAACTCCAGTGTAGGGCTCTGGGGCCTCTGTTCCAGGAAGCAGAGTTCGTCATAGGGCATGCCCCATTTGCTGGCAAAATTCCTCCAGTTCTTCACGGTCGGGTGACATGGATCCAGCTTTATCCTGATCACATCTAGCAAGTCCTGATCATTGAGCAAGTCACTGATGGTGGGGACCCGGGGCAAACAGGAGGAGCAAGAGCAGCCTTCCTTACATGGCTGGTTTCTGCTGACACCTGCAGGATGACAGAGAGGCCACAGGTTAGCCAGGGGTCTGACATACACAAGCAATGCTCTCTTTATTTTCCTACCGTATTGGCAACATCATCTAAGTGTCCCATAGCCTTCCTTGGAATAGTCCAGAACAGTCATTTCTCATTGCTCACACAATGTTGTTCTGTGTGTATGCAAGTGTGCACAGATGTGTGGTATATGCGCAGAGGCCAGAGAATAACCTTGAGTGCCAATCCTTGGGTGCCACCCCTACCCCCACACCTTTAGTGCAGGATCTCTCATTGGTCTGGAATCAACAGATTAGGCTAGGCTGGCTGGTTAGGAAGCCTTAGGGATCTACCTGAATCTGGACCCACTGTTCAGGCTACAGATATGCATTGCCTCTGAGGCACCGGGCTTTTACTTTTAAGATAGGTACATAGGAAGAACTTTATCCACTGAGCCTGTTTGTTTTGTTGTTATTGTTGCTGTTTTTATTGTTTTAAGACAGTATTTCTCTCTGGCCTGGAACTTATTAAGTAGGTTAGGCTGGCTGGCAAATCCCAGGGATCTGTTCCTCCTACAGTGTTACTCTTTACAGGAAAAGAAAGGCTGTTCAGCTGGAAGCAGTAGCTAGAGTTGATAAAGCCAACCTCTACCCATCCATGCTTTTCCCCTGTTCCAGAATGCATTTGGAGGGCCACTGACCAGGTTGAGGGTTCCAGGACCAACTCATGCTTGTGCACACATCCCTGTGCTCCTGACAGTTTTTTAATTTACATTTACTCTTGCTGTTGCTGTGTATGTGCACAGGCGCCTGTGTGCCACATCCTGTGAAGGTCAGGAAACAAACTGCAGGACCGTTTTCTCTTCCGTCCTGTAGGACCTGGGGATTGAACTCAGGTTATGATGAGGCTTGACAGCAAGTACCTTTCCCTACTAAGCCATTTCACTGGCCTCCCTGGCAGCTTTTAACACCAAACCTGGCATGTGAAGATGTCATTGTGATTGCACAACCCCTCAAAAGTTCTTGAAAAGAAAGAAAACAGGTTTGCCTGCTGCACATGCATATCTTGAAAACAAAAAGCATATCTGTCATGGCTAGTGGCAGAAAGCTGACTTTTGGGATTTATAGCCTCCTTATCATGCCTCTGCTTTATCTGTTTTCTTCACTCACAGAGGCTCTGTCTGAAGTGTGGCCAGCAGCCTCGGGGTGTGCAGGGAGCTGGAGGCAGGCCGAGGAGTGCACCAGGCTCTAGCCTGGGCCTCACCCAAAAAAACTGGTTCCCACCCCAGAAGGGCAGCCTCTTCAGTCCTCTCCGCATCACTTAGTAACAGCAGGGAAAAACATGAGTGGGAGGTGAAGTCAGTGGGGAAGAGGTATTAGGAAGTCACTCACTAAAGCCCTTGGTGGTGCCACTCTGTGGACACACCCACTGAGCAGTGTCAACTACACAATGCTGTCTCCAGAGTCTGAGTATGGGTTTAAAGATCAGAAGCTTGGAAATTTGTGGGGATGTGAACTTTACTACAAGATGACACATCGCTACACATGATGTCACTGAGTAGTGGCTGTAGGAGAGTAAGAAATGTGAACAAAGGCAGGGTGGGAAAATGTCTCAGCTGATAAAGTGTTTGCCATGCTAGCCGAAGTACCAGGTCAGCCAGTGCTACATAGCATGACTCTGTCGCAAATATAAATAAAATAGGGGTTCAGGGAAATGGCTCAGTAGCTAAAGCATTTGCCAAACAAGTATAAGGACTTAAGTTCAGACTGTCCCCACCCCCAGATCCTCTGTAAATGCTGTGTGAGTGTGATAGCCTCAGAAGTTAGAGACAGGATCCACAGAGCAAGCTGCCTGGAAAGATCAGACCCTGCCTCAGTGAATAAGGTGGAAAAGCAATACTGGAATCCATATGGATTGATAACATGAGAAGATTTCAAACTGCCTGCTAAAATCATAAGCTATGTCAGGCATGATGGCACATACCTTTAATCCAAGCACTAGGGAGGCAGAGGCAGGAAGATCTCTGTGAGTTCCAGGCCAGGATTTACACAGTGAGTTCTAAGCTAGCCAGGACTATACAGAAAGACCTGGTCTGACTTAGTTGACATCCTAAGGGAGGGTTTACCCTCTCTGAGGAGTGTATGGGAGGTAAGATGGGGGAAGGAGGGGAGATCATGGGGAAAGGAAGAAGGGGGAACTGGGATTGGAATGTAAAAAATAAAAAAATTATATATATATATATGTATATATATAAAGACCCTGTTTAAGACATTGAAAAGAAAATCATAAACTTTAGCTAGTGGGGTTATTTTCTATGAAATATATTTATCCCCCCATACCTTAACTACTTCTCATATCTCATGCAATATTCTGTCTGAAAGGACAAACTTTGAGATGTCTTGAGGAAGAAAGAGAGACTTGAGAACAAAGAAATCATCAGGCATGGGGGAGGATTCCCGATACCCCCCCCAAGTGATAGATAAGACCTGGGTATGCAGTAGGCATTGGATAAATGACAGTTACTGTAATGACAGGGAACCAGCCCTTCCTCCAATAGCAAATTCTCTGGAAATTAAAAAAGGTGGGGCTGGCAAGATGGCTCAGCAGTTAAGGGTATTCACAACCTCCTGTAAGTCTAGCTCCAGGGGAGCTCATGCCCCTTTCTGTCTCCTTGGGCATTTGTGGTCACATGCACATAGCCCCACCCACTGCCACACACATATACATAATTAAAAACAAATAATATTTTAAAAAGAAATTAAATATGTATTTGTCAAATAGGAGAATAAATGAGGATTTTGCTTCTCCAGACATCATCATCCATTAAAGCCTCCTTCTAACACACAGCACGGCCCACAGTGGACAGCCGTGGGTGTGGGAATAATGGCTCTAGAGAAGCAATTGTTCCTCAACTTCACTTGAGACGGAACATACTGATCCCCTCCAACCCTTAGGGGAAATCCTCCTCACATCTGGGCCAGCCACCACGGCTCTATTTTAATTAGTGTGGAGTGGCAGCAGGGCATGGGAGTTCTCACAGCTCCCTCAGAGACACCAGATGCACAGCTGTGATGGAAACCACAGTCTCAGGGAGTAACTACAGGTCAGCAGCTGTCAGCACAGGAAGTGTGCAGGGTCCTGAGGGTGGCCCAAATGCTAAACTTGCCAATCTACCTTTCACAGATGAAGGAGGGCCAGATCAGAGAGAAACCTCTCTCTACACATTTTCAGGAGACTAGGGATGCAGCTCAGAGGCAGAACACTTGCTTAGCATGTGAAGGCCCTGGGTTCCATCCCAGTACTGCATTCGGGTGGTGGGGGGAGACTTGGATGAAGGCACACACTGTTATGTAGTTGGTCATGCCAATTTAGAATGGAAAGTCACTCTATTCTGCATGCAGGTTATAAACAGTTCAGTTTTTCTCCTCCCACAATCTTTTGCCCTTTTCAGTGTTACTTGGGCCTTTCAGAAGGGATTATACAGAGATCAGAAGTGACTGAGAATTCACCATCAAAACACAGTCAATAGGTGAATCCTTCAGACACTCAAAGAGATTGGGACATATTCATGAGAGATGGTGTTCCAAATGTATGTACTGACACCAGGCTGCACAGAGGTGTTTGGGTCACAGGAAAAAGGAACTTTCATAACTGTACCCAGAAAACATAAAAAGGATGAAGAGTTACTGGGCAAGCCCTATGCTTTAGTTACCTAAGCACATGCTATTGCTTAAAAAGAAAGTACAGTTGGTGCTGGAGAGATAGTTCATTCAGTAAAGCGCTTGCTGTGCAAGCCCCAAGCACCCGATTTAGTCCCCAGAACCTATGAAAAAAGCTAGGTATGGTGACATGCCTGTGTGTCCCAGTGCTGGGAAAGTAGAGGGAGGTGATCCCTGGCCAGTTAGCTTAGTCTTATCAGAAACCTTCAGGTCCTAGTGAGAGCTTGTCTCAAAAACTGAAGCACATACCTGTGCACACAGGAATGCACACACATGCACACACACACAAACACATGCACATACATGAATACACAAATGTACACAGGCACACACACACACATACATGTGCACATAATTATAATCAACCCAGATGAAAGTTAACTGCTGATTGTCAAATAGCTATAAAGCCACACACATAGCACAAGTTAATGAAAGCACACATTCGCTGAATAACTCTAATGTATCTGCCCAGCTATTGCCAATGCCCTAACCTTAGTCAATCCTTTACCTGAAAGGGGATCTCCAGTGCTGTCTGGAAAATCATTTTCTTCTCCCTAAAAAAACAAAAAGTGACCTTCATTAAAATCATGGCCACGAGTAAATGACAATGTCAATTCTCCCTGTTAGTTAAATTTTTAACAACTAAGTGTGAGGGCCTGGCTGATGCTCAAAGGTGGTTCTTCAGTGGTGGCAAGCTACAAGAATTGACCTAGAATGTGGAACTAGCCCAGAGCACGGCTGCTCCAGAAGAAACTGGACAAAAGTAAAGCAGACCAGGATCCTATTTCAAACAACTGAGGGCATGTAACCCCTGGGTGTGTAACCATGGCTCCTGTTTTATTTTATCATTACAAATCATTTTCTTTGTTTTTTTTTCATTCTGCCTTGGATTGGACCTGCTGGTCTAGGCTAAAATCTGCGTGTGTGTGTGTGTGTGTGTGTGTGTGTGTGTGTGTGTGTGTTGTGTTTGTACATGTGTCTGGAGGCCAGGGGTTGACGTGCATGTCCACCATCTCGGTACATCTTTCTTATCTTTTGAACAGTGTCTCTTACCTCTAGCTAGACTAGCTGGTCAGTGAACTCCAGGAGTCCACCTGTCTCTATATCCTGCTCCCAGCCAGGGTCAAGGTTACAGATGTATCGACCACACCCAGCTTTAATTCGGGTGTAAGGATCTGAACTCGGGTTCGGTGCTTGCTCAGCAGGAACTTGACCCAAGGATCCATTTACCTAACATCCACTCCAGGCCACAATTCTTTACCTCATTCATTTTTATGTGTATTTTGTGTGCATGCATGCCTGTGCACCAATTCGTGCCTGGTGCCTGCAGAGGCCTCAAGAGAGCATGGAATCCCATGGAAATGGGGTGACAGATGGTTATAAGCCATCCTGTGGATACGGGGAATTAAATCCCAGGCCTCTGCAAGTGCAGCTAGTACTCAACCACTGAGCCTCTCATTTCTCAAGTCTCTCTATGGATTTCTTTACGTTTTATTGCAAAGCAGCTGAAACAAATTACGAGAAAGTAGTGGCAAGCCCTGGATGTGTGGACAGTGCCCTGCCTGTCTGACTGGGATTCTGTTTCTACTACCAGGATCATGCTGTTTTAGGATGACAATCGTCTTCTCTATGGTCTCCTTGGAGGGACATGTGCTGTCCACAAAGCTGTCATGGAGGGCCAGTCCCAGCACACTTGGCTGTGGGGACTTCGTTTTTGTACAACCACAGTCTCTCCCATCACTGGGTGTTGCTCCTTCATCCATCACCCATCACCAGAGTGGGGCCTGCAGTTAGGACTTTGTTGCCCCGGGCATATGTCGCCTATGCTGGCTCCCATGTACATGAAGGTTCTGTTGGAATTCACACAGCTCCATGGGGCTTTTAATTACCAGGTGCCTGAATTTTGTTTGTAAAGAAGTGCTAACTTGGCCAGGCATGGTGGCATACACTTGTAATCCCAGTACTCAGGAAGCAGAGGCAGGAGGATTATAGGTTTAAGGCAAAAGTGGTCTTTACAACAACTCAGTGTTTTAGGAATAACAAAAAGTGATAATTCCCTAGCGTCACTGTATTTAGCAAATTTTAAACATTTTCCACTTTTCTTTTAATCCTCTAAGAAGCCGTTCTCATTGTCTTAAACTCACCAATCCCAGTTCTCTGAGGTGTATCTACATCTACTAATCCCAAGACTAGCTTTCCTCCCACCACAGAAGCATTCCTACAGCCAGACCTTCCCCGTAGGTGTTGAGACAATTCTTGCTTTGGTTTTTCTGCTTTCTTGCCTTCCCTGCCTCTCCAAGGACAGCAACAAAGCTAGAGTGCTTGGGAGCCATGGGATTTCAGCAGTGCTTTCTTCTCCCTTCTCAAAGGGGGGTAGGGGGGAGAGAAAGAGAGAGAGAGAGAGAGAGAGAGAGAGAGAGAGAGGGAGAGAATGTGTGTGTGAAAGAACTATAGGAAGCCCCCTGAAGGGACCTGAATGTCTCAGCACAGACTCACACAGTCACGGGGTGGATCCCCGAGAGCCCCACCCCCACAAGACTCCACTCACTGCCTTGAAGGTGTTGTGGAGACCTGCCCTTTCCTATCTGCAGACTTTCCACAGGCCTGAGCAGGCCTGTTCACTCTTATATCAACACAGTCAGCTCTGCTCACTGAATCAGAAGTGTGGGCCACAAGGATGGAACAGAAACCCCAAGTCATAGAGAGAGACAGGAATGGTAAAGTCTATGGATTTTGTGGTATAGAGGTCACTGATAAAACACAGTGTTTCCCAGAAGTCAAAACTGTGTTGCCTGGCTCATTCTATTTGAGTTCTCATCATCTAGAGAATAACAGGTCAACACCAGCTGCTCAGATTCACCCTCAGGATGTGGGCAGGGAGCACAGCTCAGAATTTCTGTGAAATGGTTAAAGACAAAAGAGTGTCCCATGCCAGTAGTCCTACCACTATGAGGACTTCCAAGAGAGTTCCAGGCCAGCCCGGGCTACCGAGCAAGACTTTGCCTCAAAGGATAAAATGAAACATAAGATAAGACAGGACCTTTGTTTCCAGGTCTGATAACGGTGCCACTTGAATGTGAAATTCCCAACAGTGACATCAGAAAAGACTTAAGTTGTGTCTTATTTATTTTGGTCTTGTTGAAACAATGCTCCTGCCTTTATCCCACTTTTGTTTCCTAAACTGTTAATGTGTAGAAGCTGTGTGTAGGAGCTCATATCCACAGGTCCAAGGGTCTGAGCCCTTGACCTGAGGTACAGGGGGAGAAGAATCACAGGCCTAACCAAAAGGTCAGGCTGAAGATGGCGAGTGTTCAGGAGATACTGATGGAGTACCCCAAGAAGAGGTTTCCATAGACTGCAAATGCCAGAGGTGGGGTGGGGATGTAGTTCAGTGAAGGAGTGCTTGCCTAATATGTTCAGGCCCCGGGTTCAATCCTGAGCATCTCAAAAAAGTTAAACAAAACCCGAAACTGGGTGTGGTGGTTCCCAGCTATAATCCTAGCACTGGGGAGGCAAAGGCAGGAGGATTTCCTGGTTATAGACATCAGTCTGGGCTAAGGTAAGAACTTATCTCAACACACCAAACACAAATTGGGTGGGGTGGTACATACCTCTATGATCCCAGAACTTTGGAGGTGAAGGCAGGAGGACTGAGAGTTCAAACCCCTCTAGGCTACATGAGACCTTGTTTGAGGGGGTTTTGTGGAGAATGAGGCAAGGAAGAGGAGGGTGGGGAATATAACCTAGTTGGCAGAGTGTGTGAAGCTCTGTGTTTGATCCCCAGCACACGTAAGACCAGGAACATTGGTGCATGTTTGTAATCCCAGCACTTGAGAGGTGAAGGCTGGAGGAGCAGGAGTTCCAGGCCAGCCTGGGCTGCATGAGGCCCTGTCTCTGAAAAACAAACCAAACAACAAAAACACAAATAACAATACCACAAAAATCTATAAATAAGATAAAAATAAACTGGAGATCACTTCTTAGATGCAAAGACATCTAACAGGTTGAGACTGATCCTGCTGAGGGCCTGGAAAATGGACAGTTGTAGAACAGGGCATTTGCCTAGAGCCTACACCAGTTGACAAGGACACAGAAAAACAGGAAATTGCTCAGTGTCACTGGGTCTTAGACAGAGGTGAGAAGAGATTTGAGATAGCAGGCAGAAGGGAATGTCTGATGCCCTTGTAAGTGCTGGACTTTATCTACACAGTAGGGCTCACCGTGGCCTCTCACCAGAAGAAGGATGAGGCTATCCAAAACAGTGTAAAATTAGCAGGAGAAATACCTGACTGGCTGCAGGTACAGACACATGGAAGACAGGGGCTGAGTCTGGGATACAGACTCTGTATCTGGGAGGAAGGGGAAAGCAAGAAGTCTAGATGTGAAGAAGTCACTAGGAAATGAGCAGAGGAAGTGAAGAGAAGGCAGAGCAGGCTCTGAAGAGGTTATGGACAAGGAAGAGGTCAGGTCCATATACAATAACCCCTAGAAACCGAGAATAGCTGAAAGTACTATCCCCAGAAAAGACCACAGCAAGTGATGGAACTAGGGATGCTGAGCAGATTCTGGAAGGAGAGATGAGAAATAGAGAGTAAGCTGGAAGGTCCCAACCTCCAGTGGTACCCAAATCCTACATTGTGATGGCAACAGGAGGAAAACAGAATCAGGGCAGAGAGAAGGGAGGTGACCCTCGTGAGTTGTAGGGAAATCATCAGGTCTGAGGGCCAAGTGAAGACAAGATCTGCTGAGAGGCCATAGGCAATGGAAGAGGAAACATCTCTCTGGGTGGGTGGTGCTGCCACAGATGTGGTTGGGTCTACCTGGAATGCTCCAATGTCCCAAGCTCTGTAAGGTTCCCATCCTGCCCCCATCAGGCCTTAGCTGACACATCACTTCCTTTTGGGAGCCTTCTCCAAATGCCCCATGTGGGTTCTGTGACCTGGGTCCTCCCACACTCCCTCAAGCAACCCCTCATCCACCTTCCATTGGTAAATCCAATCACCTCACTTTGCCAAACTACTCTTGGATGGAGTCACTGCTTTGGTCACTCATTGGTATCCTATCTGGGGTGGGCAGATGTTTGTCTATGTTTCCCCAGGACAAGTTCACACAACAGCCATCATTCCTGGTTGTGTGCTGGTTTTGTTTGATAATTGTGGGCCCCTGACAAATCCCTGGAGTCTCCTACACTCCAACCCATCTTGCTCTAACCTGCTATGCTTTGCTGGAGAAAAGAAAGCTGAAAACCTCACACATTCATGCTATCTGATCCCGCTGTTTCCCTACTCATCCTAGGGTCCTCCAATGTGATGCTGTCAACTTGGCAAGATCTAGAGCACCCCTGAGGCAAGCCTCTGGACATACCTGTAAGGTGTTGATTAGGTTATTTGAAATGGGAAGTCTCCCCCTACATGTGGGCAGGACTGTCCACCTATGGTCCAGATAGAAGGAGGCTTCAGGGAACCACTTTTGCTTTTTGCCTGCTAGCTTCACATCTCATTGGCATGTTCATCTACTGTGTTGTTGCTGTGACTGTGCATGCTACCTCTGTTGC